AAGGCACTACGTCACCTGGTCAGCATGTGGCAAGCTTTGACTCCGTGAACAGGGCACGGAGTGGCAAAGGAGCCGGGCTCTCTTTGGCTGGTGACCTGTAAGTCCACAACATCTCGAGCCAACAACCCGCCAACAGCAGTGTGAAAGAAATCGACAGCAGTTGCTCTAGTGGAGCCCAGCAAGGTTCCTCGACGGTCCAGCGCAGAAACTTGCCGGCAATCAGAACCCGCCAACCAGTTTTCAGTGTGGTCGTGTCCGCTTGTTTAAGATGTTGACGCTGCGAGTCAGGATGCCCTCCGACCCCTTTGGCTGGACACTTTTCTAGTGATGCTGTTGCAGTGCTGTCGTACAAATACAGATGCATACATGGGCCTGTATGTCGAAGAATTGTGACGCGGCCGAGCAGTGAAAGAACTGTTTATGGTTCCAAGGACGTAAATTACGATCCCGACCTCCTGGAGGAATACCGCGATGTGGCTTGGACGAACTCTTAACATCCAGCATGTAGGTGTCAGGATAGTGGTAGCAGGTGCTCCAGGCTTTTGCATGTTGGATTTGGTGGAGTTACACATAAAAGCCCAGGACCTGGACCCAGGCTACCGGATTCGCGAGATCAAAGAGCAGGAGCTTCTGCTTGTGGCTTGACTTGCAGCACATTCCACGGATGTGAAGTCAGAATATGAAGCTGTGACCAAGATGTGACGATGTGTTCACAACTATTTGACTCTTCATTTGTGCCATCAGCCTAAGCAGACAAAAGGAAATCCAAGACAAATACGAACGTGCGCTGGCCGCTGCGCCTGAGCTGCTCCAGCAGCTCGTCTTGCAAGCTCTGCGTCAAGCGCCCCAACTGAGAATCACCATTTGTGAAGCGCGTGCGGGCAGCTCTTGAAGAGCCAAGAAGAGCTTTCAGTGCTCAAAGGGCCATGGCAAACTGAAGGCACACACTTCGCATGCCAACGGCCTGCAAAATTGGAACTTGAGTTGGGGCACCCTAAACAGGTGGGCCACCGACGTTCTGCCCAATGCGGCGGCGCATGTGGCTGAGGACCGATCAACCAGAACTGTTGGAGCTTATCTTCACAGTAGCGCTAGAAAACTGTACCTCAAACAGTTTGTTTCTTCCACCGCGCAAAAGAGGATCCCGTGGCATCCGCAGGCGAGGCTCCAGCCCAGAGGTGTGCCGAAGATGACGAACTGCTCGGAGGCCCGAGGGGCGGGTTGGGGTGTTGGGATCATGTTTTGTCTGTGTAGCGTTTCGCTATGGTTCTTTGCTTGTTGTTGTTGTCTGTCACGGACGTTGTCCAAACGTCATCTGCATTTCTGCAGGTTTAGTACAAACTTGCAGGTTAATGATTTCAGAGCTGGCAGTCAAGCTGCAGCTGTTGGGTGTTGCGAGTTTTGCTTTACCGCGCTTGCCAGTGGTTGCTGTCATGCAGCTTGTTGGCGATGTGAATGGTTTTACTTGACACATCTAGACACAATACTTATAAGTAAGCTTCGCTCGCCCACCCTGGCAGGCACCCCTGCATTGGCTGGGGCAGCGGAGCCAGGAGCGGGATGTCAGAGCTCCCTTGCCCTTCCACCTGACCTGAGCCAGCTGCCTACCTGGATTTCGTATCAATCCCCGCTATTTCTATACTCTGCACAGCATCCCACCACCTGACACCTGCAGCCAAATCTGCAGTAAGTTGGGGCCTTTTCCTAAGCTTCAAGCTGCAGGCCCTCTCCCTCCAGAGGCGCCCGCTGCAAGTGCCGGCACCCAGTCAGGGCCCAAACTGATTTTGAGGCATTTGTGACGCGAGATTTTGTTCTTTAAAGCTGGCTGATATGATAGAAAATTGCAAGGATGGTTGCGCCACAGACGAGCTTTGCGTCCGGCGGCAGCGATCACACCCTGGCGGATGCGATCATGCCACTTGCATGCGCTTTCATTCTTTGGTTTGTTCGGGGTTACCTATTTAATTTTCCGTTGGCATGCGTCCTCGAGAGGGTCAGGCCAAATGCATGTTTCAGGTTTTTGCAGGTAGTTGTGGGGTTGACAGCTTGATGCGTGGCTGCACCTGTTGAACTGGGGAACGTAACAATATCTTGCGATCACATACCCGGGCCTAAATCCCAAAGCACAACATGCATAAGCCATCACAACAACAAGCAAGGCATGGTGTACAAAGCTCTGGGCCTCCTCCTGATGAGATGGCGGAGGCACCTCAGACGATGATCGAGGGCGATCAGCCTTACGGAACATTCGGCGAAACTGCGAGAGACATTTTTTGCTTCCATCGGGGCAGGGCGTCTGATGTTACCTAGAACAGGTGCAGGAGATTTCACAAGTCGCGCAGGAGATCAGGACTGTCCTCTACCAAAAGCAGCCTCGTCATGGTCATGTGCACTTTGACTCGGGCCAATCGCAATTTTTCAGACATGAGTCATTTCAAACTAAAGCTTTGCAAAGGCACCTGACACTGTTCCGACCTTCGGAGCCAACCAGGAGGCCTTCAGTGCCATAGACTAGCACGTGGGGATTACCATATCCAAACTTGCGGATGCTCATGTTATGGTCGGCTGGGCATCGGGGTCAGTTGGTGCTGTCTGCTTGCGGCCCTTTGGCCGTTTCCTCTCTCACCCTCCCCGCCCCAAACATCCCCAACCGAGTGCAACATCGAAGTTTCTTGAAGGAGGTGCTTCGCTTGCCCGAGCATGAGTAGAACAGGGCGGAGGGTGTAAGAAGGGTACCTTCAAATCTGGAAAGCTCACTCAGAGCCAGTTATTCTTCATAAGACAACCCTATCACTTTCTGGTATATCTCTGGCTCTCAGTGATGATCTGGAGGTCATAAGATTTAGCCAGTTGCCTGTCTGTTTGGCACCAGGTGGCCGTAGCTGAAGAGACGCGGGCAGGCCGGCTGTGATGCACCACTGAGGGCCCTAGACACACCCAGAGCGATCTAAAAAGATTTAATCTAAGGTTGCTCATGTGTTTTGCTGGCTGAGTGTCGAAGGATGTTTGACTGTCAGGCAGCTGATTCCTTCACGAAAGCTGAATTCTGAACCTTCTCAGCCCCCCCGGCTCCCAGCCAAGCCGAACCTATTGTCCACAGCTTCAGGGCTCGAGCTGCCAGCAACGCCCAAGGCCCGTGGTCTTCGCTGTCAGTTTCTGATCTTGTGACAGCTTGTCTTAGAATCAGCCCTTACCAGCATGAAGTAGGTGTATTACTTCTCGACTTGTTTACTGCAGCATGCTTTGATGACTGCCTCTCCTGTGGTGGACTACAAAACGTCACAAGTGCGTTGCGTGGCGAAGATCTCAGGCGCTGTCCTGCGGTGGCAAGGTTCGGCCAGCTGATGGCCGGCCGCCAATACGTAGCTTGGCCTCAAAGCTTTCGCCGAACAGCTTTGCAAACTCTACATGCCTCTCCGGCAGAATCGTTATTGAATTCGGGCCATTTGGTACTCATATGCAGACCAATCCAATCTGCTGTAATTTTCAAGGACTTTTAAAAAGCCAGGCAATTTTCTCGCAGTCTTGGCCACCAGCAACCACTGGGGAGCTGGAATCTTTCAGATCCTGCAGTAAGGCCATCCCGACTCAGCTGACTCCTTCTACCCAGTGGAGCTGGACGGTGTTGTCTACGCGACTGGAAAGCATTGGACGATATTGGATATGGCTGCTGTGGTGATTAGAGCCGACAGGATGGTCAGCCAAAGGAGTGAAGAAAGCTGGCCCCCAGCTGGCTGGAGGTGCAGGTCTAGTGTGTGCACATGCCCTTGTCAAGCCTAACCTGCTTTTGGCGCGGTGGCACTCTGCAGACATGGCGTTCTTGGGTGGCAATGTTGACGGATAGGCTTTTGGATGTGTGATGTACACACAAGAAGCCTTTTTTCCAGCATGCCAAGGACTCCTTCAACCTCCGAATAGTTCACGAACGTGACCGGACGGGCTGCTCAAACTCCTGATTGGTACTGCTTGTATACGTATTTTGGTTCCCTTCCAGTAAGCTGCCTGCATCGAGCAACAGCTGATCTGGCTTCCCCCCTGAGCGGCAGCCAGTCCAGCCTACTGACCTCCTGCACAGCAATGTTCTGGTCAGTGGCGGTCAGGGTCTCTGTTCTGTGCGAGGGTTGGTCGGTCTGTCAGCCCTGGGTCGGTTTACAAAATGGTGTCCCCGCAAGGTGTCCCCGAATAAATCGCGGTGGGCAGCATGTGCGGGGCAAGCTGTTTCTTCCTACAATGGGGGGAGCAGTGTGAGGCAAGGTTTTCTTCACTGAGGTCGGAGGGAGGTCAAATCTGTAACAACAGGATGACCGTTAAGTGTAAGCCGGCTCAGCAGCTGCTGGCTTTTTTAGCTATAACTTCTCCAACCTTCTCGACCCCTTCATTATGGCATCGGACAAGCCACACATCGGCTCTGACCATGACTGCTCTGTTTGATCACCCTCTGAACGCCATATTGCCTGAATTTGCGTAGCACTATAAGTGCTGACGTGTAAGCAAGGTTTTGAGGAGACAAAAGACTTCCCGATACGGCTGAACAGTGCCATGGCTGGAAGTGAGGTTTGCAAGAGGATTCCATTTTAGCACATGGTGCTTCTAGATGACAACAGCTTGACAGTGCGGCCCCTGGAAGAAGAGACCCGTGCCACCCATCAAGTCAGCACAAGATAGCAGAAGCTCGGAAGGTATTGTTGCTGGCCGGTACCAAGCCACTCGGCACAGTCAGCTCACCTAACAGAAGAAATCGCCTCTGGTGGCATTTCACTTGCCGGGGTTTGGCTGGTATGCAGGCATCCCAAAATTAGTGAAACATGTGAGATGTTGACATGCTAGACACCTGGAAACGCACATGTACAACTGCTGATCTTCACGCATAACTTCACCACGAAGCCATTGGCGACAGATAGATCCGTCACAGTATGATCGCGCCTGAAGCTTTTGTGTAAAGATATGCGAAGCTTTTCTCAGTTGATGACGTTGAGCTGCTTTGGGCTGTGAACATCCAGGTCCTTGAGTACCTGGGATCGGCAGCCTTCTCCCGAGCTGTCCAATGTCTTGACCTCGAGAACAACAGGAGCAGCTCTGGGTACTGGGAGTGAGTCGACCTATCATCAAGCTGAAATTTGTCGTTGCGTGCCGACAGAAGCTTGAGGTTCTAACTCTGCAGGCAGAACTAGGCCAAGCAGCAGGGATCTGTTCTGAGCCCTGAGTAGCAGATACATCAGTCCCCCATACCCAAGCGTACCTTAAGAGGTCCGATAGTCAAACACCCCGCCAGAAAGGATGGTCTGTATGAAGATCATCAACAACAACAAGGACTTCTTAGACCAGTCCCTGGACGAGATCAAGCTGCTGAGGCCGGGTGGTGGTGCCGTATCATTTGTCGCGCAGTGGCAGCTTCTCAGTCAATGCAGCTTGCCGCTTCATAATCATGACACATCGTGACCTTTGCCTAGCAGCTCAGCACATTTGCACTGAAACCTTCCCAGGCTGATTCGAGCCAATGTGGTCTGCGCCCGAGTGTCGTTTGGTGTGTGACTTTTCGATTGGAGCATGCAAGTTGCGACTTTGCTGCGGAACGTTGGGGGCAAATGTGTGTCCTTAGTTCAAGGTTTAAGTCTGTAGGAACTTTGTCAGGTAAGACTTGTCAGGGTGCATGCTTCATGTGTTGAGTTTTCGGGACAGAGGTTGTCAGCACGATTTTTGCACGATGAGCGGATCACATCCTATGCGCCCTACAATGCTACAAACCTTTATGCACAGACCTTTACCAATAAAAAGCCCTGCTTTATACCGCAAAAGGCCAAAGGCGCCGCAGTCAACCATTACTACCTGAAGATCACCTCAACAAAACCCCTGCTCGTCATGCTGGCAAACAGAGCTTCGGAGACGGTGCTTATTCATCCCTAGTGCCACTGAAAGCCTGAAAGGACAATATCGACGACAAGAACTGTCTGGCACTGGTGGAGCCCTGGCCATGATCGATGTTCATGTCGCATTCTGTCTGGAGCATGTCCTGCAGTCCTGATGCTGATGCACGTGTGAGCCCCACGACTCCTGATGCAGTCTGCTGTGCTCTTCACTCGCATGTCTGCTGAGCTGTGACTGTGCGAGTAGGACCTGGCCAAGGATTATTTCTACCACAAGGAGCACCTCATCATTGTCACGGCTTGGGCCTCGGCTGGAGGGTTGCATTAAGATAGTATAACATAGTTTTACGTGACCTAGGTAGATAGCCAGAGAATGTGTCTGTAGCAGCTTAGTCATCAGTGTTGGCTAATATCGCCAGAAACCAGTGGCATGTGAGGACTTGAGAGAAGAAGCGCCAGTGTATCCCAGTGGTCAGGAACTCCTCCGAGACAACCTCTACGAGTTTTCGAAGTACAACCGTGAGGCAGTGCGAAGGGCGTGCTGAAGTATGCTTCAGTTGTTTCAGGATCGCCTGAAGTTTTCGAGGGCGGGCAACATAGGATGCACGACAGTTCAGCAAATCTCGGTATCCTTGCTTGTCTTAAGACCGGAGGCTTGTGAAGAGCCGTACTTCACGCTCGGAAGGCTGCAGAGGACGCTTTCTCTAGCCTGCAGCGTGCACTGGGAAACTCAGTAGGCAGCTGCACCGTAGGATCTCGAAGCAGATCCTGGTTGCCCTGGAGTGCCCAAGCTTGCGTTGCTCATACTCCCAAGGGGTAAGCTATGACCTGTCCAATGCTAGGAGTTCCTTGACAAAGGTACATCCACCAGCTGTACTTGATCCATGCAGACCTAAAGCCTGAGAACATTCTCATCAAGAGTTACTCGCGCTGTGAGGTGGGGAACAGATGTAACGCATGTGACCATGAGCCGTGTCTTGAATAGTTCAGCCTAAGAAATCCCGCTTTCCAAAGAGCCGCAAGTGGAAGCTTCTGAAGAGAAAGGTCAAGGTGATCGACTTTGGCTCCTCCTGCTTCGTAGATGATCAGTGCCTTGGCATAGACGTCGGGAAGTTGGAAGTTCGGCGCAGAGACTGCCTAGCAGCTGGATGTTTTCTGTGTGCTGTTGCTTTGCCGTATCTTGCCGTGTCTCTCAGGCTGACAAACTATGTGCAATCACGGTCATACAGGACCAGAGCATTAAGTTGGGGTTTGTTTCTGGACTCGAGTGTCATGAGACCTACAGTGCAAGCTTTGCAGAGGGTGTCTTCTGGGCAGCTTGAACTTTGTGGCGGGACAGCTCTAATGCGGTTTGGGAATCCCAAGCTTCCCTTTGAAAAGTTTGGGAAGCTCCTGGGTTTTCTGAATGCCTTGCTGCCGCTCCACGCAGAGCCTCCATCCCAAAATATCCCCAAGCCGCCAGGGCTCCTGAAGTGATTCTGGGCCTCTCGTACGACCAGAAGATCGACATTTGGTGACCTGGCTGCTAGCTGGTAATGACCGTAAATTTCAATCCGCATCAGCAACGCATCTGCCGCCCGGCGGAACGTGGGGCTCAGAGATGTAGACGCGCGATACGAATCTTTGAATCCCAAATGGGCAGGAGAGCACAAATTTTTGTCCGCCTACCCCGCATTGGCCAGATTTGTGTTCGTACTTCGTGATGCTCTGTCATCTGCGTTCAGAAGCCGTATGCCCGTTCCCTTGAAGATCTCAAACCTTGTCAATTGCTTCCATGCCACTGTCGGGGCTTCTATTCAGGTTCAAGATTCTTGCTGGAAGCTCTACTGTACAGCAGTCGGTACGACGGAAGTAAGGTCATTGGGATGCATTGTTGCGGAGCTCTGGGCAGGCAGTTCTGTCATGCATCTGACAGCTTCAACTGGAGGTTTCAGGGTTGACCCCTTGCCTTGCAGTTTTGATTTGAAAGGGTTTCTTCGGGTTCGAAGATTGCCGACATCTGTCGTTCGCAGATGATTTGGTAGCATCATTGTCACAGAAAGAATTTAATTGCGGAAGACGTCGCTGTCACAGGTCTTGTCGTTTTGTGCTGTGAACGTCAGAGTCTTCCCACATTTGCTGCACAGCTGCAAAGGCTTTGTTCTCTTCCAGAATGACTCTGTCCAGAGCCTTCTAGCGAGGATCATGGGCATTCTGGGGCAGCCTGGGCAGCACGAAGGTTTCGAGGCATGAAGCCAACTGATAGCAGAAGCCTCCGCGCAATCTTTTCTGCAATCAGTTGGTGTCTTGAGCTTCAGCCCTGTAGAGCTTGAGCCAACAAGGCCTATATTCCTGTTTGGCTTTTGCCCTTATCCTCTGTTGAAAGATTGAGCCCTTGCGAAGCGGCGAAGCGTTCTGCTTGAGGCCACTACCTGCGCACATGATGGCCACCGGCCGCTTTGTGCCACAGTACTTCACGCAGGACCTGCATATCCCCAGTTGGGTGAGGCTCATGCGTACTGGTGCCTTAAAGCATGTTTTTGCGTCCTCAGATTTTTGGACAGCTTGAACCTCGCAGGACGGTAGGCTCTTCCGCGAGTCGCAAAGTCCTCCTGCCTCAACGGCCGCCACGACGCCGTGGCCCTAGAAGAGTTCTGCGGCGAAGTTTGCGTGAAGAAATCTGAGGCCGGTGGAGCCGCAGCGTTCTTTACACCTCTTGGTACCCAAGAGGACCTGCTCTGATTGAAATGGAGCATGCTAGGCCTTGAGGGTGCAGATCTAGGATGAGGGGCAGCATTGCTGTGGCCGAATCCTCCAGAGAGTACTGTATGCTGTTATAAGAGGCTTTCATGATATCCAAAGCCTGGCCTGACAGCGCCAGGACTTCTCTAAAGCAGCGCATGCGAACGAATGATGAGGCCAAGAACCGCTGACCGAGCATGGGTTTTGAGCCTCCTTTACGAATCCAGCAGGTTGAGAAAGGATTTTGTTCCAAAGGACCTTTCCGATTGCCTTTGTCCTTATCGGGATTGTTGCCCGTCTTGTCTGCTTTCGGGAACCTTAGAGTATGAGCCTGGTTATCACGGGCTTCGAGTGGCCGGGGACAGAGCAGCGGCACCTCAAAAATCACCCGCAAGTGCCAGCAAGCCTAAAATCCCATGCTCAGAAATGCATGTTTCTTGACTATGTTTGCTAAGGCCATGGCTCAGGTGTAGTTGAGCACTGGGCAACAAAAAAAATGAACTGGGCTTTGCGGCACCCAGTTTTCAAAGCTGTTCCGGTGCTGCTTGGGGCATAGCGGACCCCATGGGTCTTAACAATTTGGCACACACCTCAAGCTCAGTAGATGCGCTCGCTGATTTCCAGCACAACGCTGTCTGTATGGTGACCTCAATACTTTTCCATTCCTGTAACTTGCTGTAGGCGTATAAGGCAGACAGTGTGGCCTTGAGGGTGTGTGCAGAAGTCTCCCAGCCTAAGCCCGAGCTTGGTCATGGGAAGAGCCTACCTCACAGCCTCGCATGGAGGGATTGCACAGGTTTTCTTGGACTTCCTCAGCTATCTTCTTCAGGCAGGAGCTTACTTTCGTACACGTCGGCTGTTTGCAGAGCATAGCAGCCTGCAAGCAGAGCCTCGAACAGCTAGATGTGCTACAACTAAGTACACATCAGCAGGAGCGCAGCGTGCGTTTTGCAGGTCCTGACTCGGCAGTGTACACGTGCATGTGCAACACAAAGCTTTTGCACGAGTTGGAGGGCCGGTGTCAGCTTTGCAGGGGCTTATAGATTCTGGGGACACAGGGGCAGGCTAGGAACCCACAGGCATAGAGCACCACGGTCAATTCTTTCACCAAAGGATTCAATCCGCTATGTAATGTGCAGATGGTACAAACGCAGGTGGACCCAGCGCTTCGGCCCACGGCCACAGAGGCGCTCAAACACCCGTTTCTCAGCCAGAGCCCCAGCGGAGCTGCATCTATTTGTCAGACATTTTCTGTAACCCATCCTTGGTCCTCGTCACCTTGCCACCACTCGGAACTTACCTCAACCCACCGCAGCTACCAGGACCAGGAGAGGGGCCGTCAGATCAGCGTCTTAGGCCACAACCCTTGTGCATGTTGAGAGGCCCGAGCACGCATTCTGAAAAAGAGGGTAGCAGCAGAGCATCTGAATCTGCTGTCGCGCTACAGTATTGCCTTTCCTATCCCGTTGGCCCTGGAACGATCTTCGCCTGCATCTCTTAAACCTTGTTAAGGAAAGCTCAGCATGCCGCCTGCCACAAGGTCTGGGTCGATATAGCGATGGCTATCACTGACGCTTCTCTGAGCGCTCCCGCGCGAACACCCAAGTTTCAGGTTTGGAGGGTGCCGCGTTCTAGGTGTATGGTGCAACTGCTCCAAGCTGCAATCGATTCAATGTTCCGTGGAGAAGTTTGAAGACAAGGCGTTCTGTGAATTTGGCAATGACTTCATCAGCCCGTTTACGGCTTTGATTGCAGGCAGGGAGCCCTACATCTCTAGCATGTCGGCTGGGCTATGGATTCATTGCATGCAATCAGCCTCGCCGGGGAAGAGTGGGTCCTGACCCTCTGACCCAAGAATGAGCTATGGCCTCAAACACGACGGTATTTCCTTGTTTGCGATTGTCGCAAGTTCTTGACGCAGAAGCGATATTGAGTCACTCTTTCCCGCCGCGTGTTCACTTAAAGGGAGACTAGCTCGTACGCCAGTTGGCGCTCGATCAGAGCAGCAACAAACCCCATTCTTGATTGGCAGGATCATGCTGTGTCCCAGTTTCTGCATGCGTCTGTGGGCATCTGCTTCAAAAGGCAGAACATGTGCAGAAGCACCAGTAGCAACTACCTCAGAGAGCACACAGGCAACCGTAATCATTGCAACTTCCAGCTCTTTTACACTTGCAGGCGGAGATTTGCGCTACAGGGAGTTTTCTCCAACAAGCTCAGAACATGTGCTGTGTTGGTGGAATGCCTGTTGGCCCAAAGCCGCAGAGAATGAATCCAAGGGGAGTCCATGCTGCCACCGGAACGCAGTTCCTAGCCAAAGGGCCATGACAGCCAACCACGTCAAAGCATGTCAGATTCGACTTAGGACTTGCAATGCGCATCAGTCTTATCATTGATCTTAGTTTTATGAGATTACGAGTTGGACCAATTGGCGGGCCATGTCCTTCCAAGCAGCCCGGGATGTGTCGTCACTTCTCGTCCCGCAACAAAGCTCCGAGGTCGGCAACTGCCTTTACCAGTCCACGCTTGGATAACACCTCCAGCAAAGTGCACTCAGCCCCTTGGGTGCTGAACGCAAGATAGCAAGATAACACCTTCACCAGAAGAGTGTCGGGCCGCCTCTGCAGGATCTAGTCGCCCGTGGTGTGGGAAATCGCGAAGCGAGGCCAGTGCCTGCTTGGACAGCCATTCTGCTTGCTGATATGTCATTTGTTACGCTTGTGGCTCATGTTGCGCCAGACGTCACCAGAAAATGTTCATGTCGTGTCACACTTTTCTGCCATCTCAGTCAACATGACTCTAGTGTTTCGTGCTGCCAAAGACGCCGCACCGTGCTTCGAAACTGGGTCCTTGAGCGTCTCTCAAATCTGCCACTTGGCAAACCGCATCAGTGACTGTCGATGTGGAATTTGCTTCAGGCAGGAGGACGTGGCAAACTGCAACATGTCTAGCGTGCTTTCAATTGCTCAGCCTCCTGACGGCTCCTAGAGGTGCAAGAATGAAGCCTAAACTCTCTCGTTTTAATCGGTTGCGCTTCTGCCGAATGCCGAACCCAGGATATGGTTCTTGATGCTGTCTGCGCTGTGCATGCCTCTGATAGTGACTCTGCACCTTGGCTGACAGAGGTTGCTCGACACACTTTGACTCGACCTCTCGCAGGTCCGTAGCGGATGGACAAAACATGTGTACCTCACTTTGCGTGCTTTTTTTGTAAGCGGTTGAGTAGCAAAAGTTTGAGCTTGATCTTTCGGTGCTGGGCTGTCGAATGGCTTTCAAACTGTTTTTGCGACCAATCATTGCCCTGGCTGTTGGATGTAGCCAACTGGAGATGCTAAGGCTGCTGCCTCTCAGCTGCATCTTTTACGAGATGCTCGTTGTCGCTGTGAATTGTTTTGCGTTCCAGTTCAGCCACGCTAAGCATCTGACCGGTGGGAACGGGAATGTGTGAGCCAACATAAGTCCTGACCCAGGTTAACCACGCTATTTGTTGCGAAGTTCTGCGACATAATCAGTTGCTTGCCTTCTCAATCTTCAGGAACTTCTTTTCAGTTTGGTTCGAAATCACGTTGCATAGATTTTGCTGGAAGGCCCACGGGTTATTCCGCAGACAGGTGGCCAGAACGCGGGCGGAGCTATAGCTGTCTTCATCTTCGGGCATTTCGAAGACTCCTGCAGCTTGGTTTCAACGGCATAGAGGCTACAGCTTCAGGCTGAACCACGAAGAAGGCTTCCTCATTTGGATTCATTTTGCCCTG